CTCTTTTTCTCTCTGTCAGGACACTCTTCTCCAAGCTCTCAATCCCCACGGCCTTGGAGGATAGTTAGCAAATAAATGAATTTATTTAGCTATTGGGGAGTGCTGAGAAATGACCCCAGAAGATATATACAGTTGAATCCATGGACCTGTGGATGTTCCTTATATGCAAAAAAATACCCTTGCCGATGTGAAGAAGTTAAGGATCTTGAGATGGGGAGGTTATCCTGTTTTATCTGGGTGGGCCCTAAAGGCCATCAGAAGTGTCTCTATAAGATAGAAGCAGAGGGAGATTTGATATGCAGACGAGAAGGTGTTATGAAGACAGAATAGACAGAGACTTAAAGTCACCAACCCTGGAGTGATGGGGCCACAAGCGAGGGAATGCTAGAGTCAGGAGATCTGAGTCCACGTCCCATTCTACCCTCCTTACTGTGTGATCCCAGGCAAGTCCCAGTCTTTGGTTTCCTTGCCTGTAAAACTCCCAAACTGACATAGAGGAGGAAGTTTCCCTCCTGCTGCCAATGCTGTGAAGCTTAAGGGAAATGCCGATGAGAACATTCAGCACAAACATGTGCTACTATCACCTTTGGGACTGGGGTCCTCACAGCAGCTCTCAGATTTTACCACTGGCAGCCACCCTGCTCTGAGTTTTAGGAAGAGCAGCTAACATTGACTGCGTGCCTGCTATGTGCCAGGTGCTGTGCGAAGCATTTTATTTGCATCCTCCAGAGACATGTGGAAATGGGATCGTGGAGTTTGCACTTTGGAAGCAGAAGGACCTGAGCTGGAATCTCAGAAGTGCCCTAATTAAGCTGCGTGACCTCAGGCAAGGGACTTAACCTCCCTAAGCATCAGTATCCTCATCTACAAAACGGTGCCGCCTTGACCTGTCTTCCTGAAAGGTCACAAGGGTCAGATTTACCCTAAGCAAGAGGTCTGGCATGATCCTCTTATTACCATTTGCTCTTTATAATCAGCGGCGGATTCGTGGTGAACACATAGTTTCATAAGGGGACGTGCTGCTGTCTCCCAGTGCAGAAACATCTAAGTGCCACTGGTATCCATCCAAAAGGCAGCGTTTCCTCTCCCACTCCCACCCCACGCCTGTGGAACTACAGAATCTTTCTTCTGTGACAGCACCGAGACACAGCACCGAGACACACGCATACGTGGTAATTTTCAGGCGAGAGCTGAGCAACTAATTTTCCCACTTAAAATTTATTCTTCCTTCTTTTGTTATTATAAGCTGGGGAAAAGACATAACAGAAACCCTCTGAGTCTGGCAAAGAAGAAACAACGTGAAACGCAATTTGAAACCAGGAGTAATCACTGTGTCTACAATTCTAAAAAAAAAAATACATCAAGGAGTAGCTTTTAGAGCCAGTTTTAAATCACGCAGAAGAGTCTGGGTTAGAAACAATTTATTATTTTCCTCCCCAAAATGCTGCTCTGCCTGGACTTTCTGTTCTGGTTAAATGCCCCATGCACCCCCAGACCCAGGGATTCCCTCAATAGGCCCCTTCTCACTGCATCTAGTCACCCAGTCCTGTGACTTCCTGCCTGTCGCAGCCACAGGGCATGTTTATTAGTCCCCTGCCTCCAGGCCTGAACTTGGCTAAGCACCCTCCAAGCCAGCCGCTAAGGGATCTTTCTGAAACACAGATGAAAAGATTTTCATGATGACTGTCAATTACTCAGAACCTATCGGGCATCTACCACATGGCCGGTGTTCTTTCATTCAACTCCCAAAGCCTACAAGGTAGTTGTTATTAGTCCCACCTTACTAATGAGGTAATTTCCTTCTGTAACTTGGTCGAGATCACTGAGCTGGTATACAGTGGAACTGGGATTTGAGCCCAGGTCTGGGGACTCCTAAGTTTGAGCTCTTCCCATGTCACTGCTTTCTCTCCTAGGCTTCCTACTGACTACATCTGAGCTCCCCAAACTACGCCCTGGGGATGTCACTGTATAAGATAGAATAAGTTTTCTTTAAAACAACAACAGCAATAAAGTGTGTGTGGAGGCGAGAGGTGGCCGGTCTGTGTTAAATAAATTTGGGACATGCTATCTATGCTGACCAGTCTTGGAGAATCCCTGGCATCTTTGTATATTAGTAAAGGTTTTGGTGTGTCCTGCAATTTAAAAAAAAAAAGGAAAAACAAAAACAAAAAAAAACCCCACTTTAACCTAGAGTTTTCCAAAGTCATTTTGCCCTGGAACACCTTGCACTGAGCATCCGTCAGTCAGAAGGAGGACTGGTGTTCCTCGGCACACCGTCTGGGAACCACTGGTCTTCCAGCCCAGGTCCCACAAGCTCCTGGGCTGGGCCCACCTGCCTCTCCAGTGTCTCCTCTTCGCCTTGTGTCAACCTTCCCCTCCAGCCACACCTCGATGCTCACATTTCCTCAGACGAGCCAGGGTGTTCGCGCCTCTGTGCCTTTGCACAAGCTGTTCCCTCCCTGAGCCTGCAATGCTGTTTCCCTCCTTCCCTCCCTCCATGTGCCTCAAGGACTGGCCAAAATGTCTCCTTCTCCGGAAGTGGTTTCCTAAGGCTTCTAACCAGAGCTAATTACTCCCTGGGTTGCACCAGCCCTAGCACTTACCTCTACTACAACACGTCTTTCCAGATAATCTTTGTCTTCCCATGGCTCATCCCCTGCGGAGGGCTGTGAGTTTCTCGAAGGGCAGGCTGCGCTTGCTTTATTTCAGAATTAACACCGCGCACGAGGCCTGGTACACAATAGGTGTTTGTCAGTTGGACTTCCTTAGCTGTCCTCTAGTCTATTTTCTTAATATATTTTTCTAGTTATAAAAGTAATTCATGCCCACTGTGAGATTTGAAAAAAGACACATGTATATATGGTATATATTTAAAGAAGAAATACCCATAATCCTAGAGGGATCAGGGTGAATGAATCTCAAATTTGCATTAGCATAAGAATGACCTGTGTGAGCTAGTTAAAAACAGAGGCACTCAAACCACAGCTGGGCCACCCAGATTCTGCCCCAGTGTGTGTGTGTGTACCAGCGTGTGTGCATGCACACGCGTTTAAAAAACTTCCAGTTGATTCTAAAACGCACCCCTCGGACACTCCCTGGTGGTTCAGTGGTTAGGACTACACGCTTTCCCTGCTGAGAACCTGGGTTCAATCCCTGGTCGGGGAACTATGACCCCTGAAGCCGTACGGTGTGGCCAAACAAAAAAATAAATTAAAAAAAATAAAATGCATCCCTCATTAAGGGTCACTGCTTAGGTGAATTCCGATATTTTGTACTATGAACAAGGCTGTAATGAACATCTTTGTATGTAAATCTTTGTCTATGGGTCTACTGATTGCCTTAGGAGAAATTCCTAGAAACAGAATGATTGAGCCAAAGGGCAGGAAGGTGTTTCAGGCTCTCGGAGGAGTTATTCTTCAGAAAGATTTTGCTGCTCCCTTCTCCCACCAGCAGCTTGTGAGGGTGCTTGTCTCACCACCCCCCATTATTATGGCCACTTTGGACAAGAAAGAATACAAGAATAGTTGCTATTAAATGTGAACGAAAAATCGCCTAGCTTGATGTTGTTTTAAGAGGGACATTTAACGAGCTTTTGAAGTATAATTACTGTTTAATCAAGCCTGGGAATGCACAGTCATTATTTTCTTTTTGTGCACGCTTGGTAATTTTGCCAACGAATGCTGTGAACACCCATCACTTCATTTGTTTTTGTGGGCTTATGCGGCTTGTTTTCCTAGAGGAGCTTCAATCTCTCGCTCTGTGTGTGTCTCTGCCTCTCTTTCTTTTGCTGAGGCACGTAGACTTTGAGTTTAGTTTCTTCCTCCCCAGAGTCTCAGCTAAGGAGCAGGTCCCCTCAGCTAAGGAGCAGCACCTGAGATGCTCATACCCACTGTGCAGGTAGCCGTGCCCCTGGCTAGCTGCCCACCCCCTAGAATGGCACTCACATTTTCTCCCTATCTGCCTCCATCCAACTCTGACAAGTGAGGGCAGAGTTTCTCAGTGTCTGGACCCACCTGCACCAGAGGAAGATGCCTGCTGGGCCAGCTCCTTCCTGCCTGAGAATGGAAAAGGCCACAGCTCCCTTGGCCATGCTCAAGGAGGGTCTCCGCCATCTACAGTGTAGTAGGCAACGAGAAGCTTCCAGGAGGAGGGAACTGCCCATGACCAAGGCCAAAGGAGGACAATAGCCATTCAGACATTAAATATCCTCTGACCTGCAGTTCTCAGGCTAGAAATCTTACTTAGAGAATGCTCCCACATGTGCATGATGCTATTTGCAAGGGCTTTCCCAGCTGTTTACAATGGAGAAAAAAAGCCCACTAAAGGGCAACTGATTAAATAAGTGAAGACCCCTGCATATCATGGGATACCAGGCTGGTGCACCAGGCAACATTTAACAATTAAAAATAATGAGGCAAAAAAGACAAACCTGTATAGACGGAGGGAAAATATCTACAGTTAAATGAGAATAGCAGGCAGAAGAAAAATATGTTCAGAATGATCCCGTTTCTGTGAAAGACAACAATTTAGTCAACCAACATTTAATATTATACGCCAGGCACCATGGATAAATAGGCAAAACCAAACAAACCTTGTCCCTCATAGAACGTGCATAAACAGGGATTATCACTAAACAGAAAGGAGCCTGGAAGGAACTGTTCACCCTGGTTATTTCTAGGCAGGGTGCATGGGAGCAGGGAAATGGTTTTAAGAAGAGTTTTCAGGGACTTCCGTGTCGGCGCAGTGGTTAAGAATCCGCCTGCCAGTGCAGGGGACACGGGTTCGATCCCTGGTCCGGAAAGATCCCACATGTCGCGGAGCAACTAAGCCCCTGCGCCACAACTGCTGAGCCTATGTGCCACAACTACTGAAGCCCACGTGCCTAGAGCCTGTGCTCTGCAACAAGAGAGTCCACTGCAATGAGAAGCCCGCGCACTGCAACGAAGAGTAGCCCCCCGCTCGCTGCAACTAGAGAAACCCCACGTGCTGCAACAAAGACCTGACGCAGAAAAAAATAAATTTATTTAAAAAAAAAAGAGTTTTCATATTTCACTCTCTATCCTTCTATATTGTTTGGATTTTTTCCACAATAAATATGCACCATATTTGTAATTTAAAATAATATGGAATGAAAGAATGAAATAGAGGGGAAATGGAGCCCACGATACAGCCAGGCCTGGAGACCCAGGCCTGAGATGATTTCCCACCTTTGCTCCTTGGGACCCCATCACTTCAGCTCTCCATCTGCTCAAAGGTTTGGTCTTTAATCTCTCTAGGGAAATCAGCCAGAGAAACAGAGATAACCACTGTGGCTGGGAAGGTTCAAGGTTACCCCAGCTGTTACCACTTGGTCCACTGGTTCCAGGTCTCCTGGAGTAGTTCCTTGTGCCTTAAAATGTATTCACAGATGATTGCGCTCCCCTCTTTTTTTTAATTCTGAGAAATTTCAAGCCTTCAGAAAGGTTACAAGAAGTAGTACAATGAACACTTGTAGATTCTTCACCTAGATTCACTAGTTGTTAACATTTTGCACACTTGTTCTCTCTTTCTCTCTCTTTCGATGTATTAATTTTCATTTTTGCTGAATTGTTTGAAATTTAGGTACAGACATCATGACACTTCATTCCTTACTAAGAAAACATCCTGCGTAACCATGGTGTATTATCACACTTGGGAAATTGAACATTAACACTATCCTAGTATCTTATATACATTCCACATTCAAATGTTCCCAAGCGGCCCAGCATTGTCCTTGAACAGCTCTTTTTCAAAGGGTCTGGGATCCAATCCAGGATCACGTGTTGCATTCAGTTGTCCAGGCTCTTTAGTATCCTTTAATCTAGAGCAGTTCCTCAGCCTGTTTTACTTTTATCTGACATGGGGATACTTGAAAAGTCCAACTAATTGTGTTAAAACTACACAATCTCCAGGAATTCCCTGACGGTCCAGTGGTTAGGACTCTGTACTTCCACTGCCGGGGGCGCGGGTTCAATCCCTGGCCAGGGAATTAAGATCCCACAAATCTCGGGGTGCGGCCAAGAAAACCAAAAAACTACACAATCTCCGCGTGATCCTTGTCTTAGAGATGTCAATTTTCTTATGCCACCACTAGGTGGCACTCTCGGTAGCCCTTGTCCTTCAACAGCCCTTGTGAAAGGGCAATTTAAGGATTGTCTCAGTCAAAGAAGGCTCTTCTTTGGTAAAGCATATGCTGTTTAAAATGCCTGTATAGGGGCTTCCCTGGTGGCGCAGTGTTTGAGAGTCTGCCTGCCGATGCAGGGGACCCCGGTCCGGGAAGATCCCGCATGCCGCGGAGCGGCTGAGCCCGTGAGCCATGGCCGCTGAGCCTGCGCGTCCGGAGCCTGTGCTCCGCAACGGGAGAGGCCACAACAGTGAGAGGCCCGCGTACCGCAAAAAAAAAAAAAAAGCCTGTATAGTGGGGAGAGGGATAAATTAGGAGTTTGGGATTAAAATATACACACTGTTATATATATAATATATAACCAACAAGGACCTATTGTAGAGCACGGGGAACTGTACTCAATATCTTGTAATAACCTATAATGGAAAAGAATCTAAAAAAGAATATGTATGTGTATATATATGTACATATATATGTATGTATGTAAGTGAATCACTTTGCTGTACACCTGAAACTAATACAATATTGTAAATCAATTATATTTCAATAAAAAATAAAATAAAATACCTGTATATTATAAAGGTGGTATCCTTTCAAGCGTGTCTTCCCATATATGATTCATAATCACCCGGGGATATTGTTCATCAGGATTCTGATTTGGTGGGACTGAGGTAGGTCCTAAGATTCTGCTTTTCTAATAAGCTGTGGGTTGATTGTGATGCTGCTGGTCTGGAGAACACACTTGGAAGAGCAGGATTAGAACAAGCATATGAAGAAACATATCTATTTACAATTAGGCAACTTTTCTTTTTCTGTCAGAACCAGCAATGAAGCTGATCTCATCTCCTGCTAATCCCCTCCCCCCACCCAGCCCTTTGGCCTCCGTGCTTCTGTACCACAGGGCCTTTGCACTAGCTGTTCTCTCTGCCTGCACTCTCTTCCCCCAGATATCCTCTACTTGGTTATCTCCCTCTGCTCCCTTGTCTTTCCCCAAACCTCACTTCTTAATGAGATTTGCCCAGACTACCCTATTGAATACTGCCCCCTGTCCCCACCCTGATTTCCTTTCCCCTTCAACCTACTCGATTCTTTCTCTATAGCCCTCACCACCTTCTCACATACCATATAATATACTTACTATATTAATTGCTTATTTCTGTCTCTCCCTGCTAGAATCCAAGTTCCACGAGGGTGGGTATCTTAGTCTATTTTCTTCACCGATATACCCCAAGCACCTAGAACTGTGTCTGGCACATAGTAGGTTCACAAGAAAATATTTGTTCACCTTAATGGGACCTTCAAGATGACAGTGCCCAATCCCCTCATTTGGTTGATGAAGAAATGAGCTTCAGGTCTTTGGGCAAGATAAAGAAGTGCCCAGGGTCATACACTCCCTACGTGTGCTCCCTGTGAGACTGTAGGGAGATTGTGCTGTCCGTCTAAATGAATAAAATTTAAAAGCAGGACTTGTTTGTATCAGTTAAATTTTTTTTCTTTTCATTTGTTTTTGTTGTTTACTATCAGTTAAATTTCAAGCTACTGTGTTAATTCTTATTATTTGTGTTAAGCCTTTTCCAAAAAGGATCTGGAGAGCTAACGAGATGATATAAACTCATATAAAATGGAACAGTCAGGAATCAAGATGGAAGCGATATCATCTAAAGGAAGAGGGAGTTGATTTTAAGAGGCCCTTGACAGTAGTTAATTATGCTAATGGGGTACAGAATTTGGCTCTGAATTCTTTGGCAGCTGAGTTAAATGGGAAGCACATGGGGCTGCGTAGTGTTTGTTGTCTGTGCTAAGAAAGTCTGAGCACTCAGCGGGAACGCACTTCCAGGACGCATTGAGTATAAGCACAGGAGAACTCTGTGTGACATCCAGTGGGCCCCCAATTGGCTAACGTTCCCCCCAAACCCCCAAAGTTCTCACTGAAGAATGCGCTCCTTTTATCTGGGAATTCTAAGAGCGTAACATAAAATCACGTGATAGCTCTTAAGTTCAAGTGAGTTCTTTTCTGATAGCTCTACCAGAAAATAAGGATGAAAACCAGAGAATCTAGGAGAAAGCATAAGTAAACATGTCTAGGAATATCTTTTACAAATATCTGCTGTCTCAGATCTTAGATAAACATTGAACCACAGGCAATTCATGGATTAGACTTTCATATGTTCAATGGGGGAGGGGGGGTGATATTTATTGAGTTTCTACTATAAATGGGATCCTTTTTCCCCAGAGGGCACCCCCAAGGCCCAGCTAGCTCAAGGGCAGAGAGGACAGGAGGGGAAGCCACTTCTGTTTCTTTAAGTTGCATGAAGTATTTGCTAGGGCGTATTCCGTATCCAAAAAAGGCATCCAGCAAATTCACCTCTCTGGCCACCAGGAAGCTGTCCTCCACCATGAAGTAGGGACAATTGCTCTGTTTTCTGCTGATGATTTTTCAAAACACAGTTCTTTTACAAAACCTCTGAATATCCTGTGAGTGAATACTAGCCTATGTATTTTAATAAATGATAATACATTTTGTCTTATAGACCCCTTTAAAAATTATTTAAAGATTTCCCCTTTAAAATAATTCACAGTTTAATGACAGAGATAAGCACCTAAACAAACAACTACAAGAAATGTGATGAGTGTCATACTGTATGTGGATAAGAGTGGCTGGAATCTTTCCTTTTCCAGCGATGTACTTCCTCTTTTGATATTTGTACATCATTGCATTATATACTGTGGATTGTTCCCCTGAGATCGGATTGATCAAACGAGCATGTCTTGGTCTTTGTGCAAATACTTTTTCAAAGGTCATTGTGTATTTATATGTTCCTTGATGACTGTGAAGTAAGGATGTAGTAATTTTCCTATCAAAATGAAATGTATACGTTCAACTGTCTCCAACTATGAGAGTTTAAAGACAAAAAAACTGAGATACTGTCCTATTCAGTGCTAGTGTGATATCTGTATAAAAATTGACGAATTTCTCAAGAGGTATTTACTGGGAGAGTTTTATGTTACACAACCAATTTATAAATATTTCATTAGGAAAAAAAAAAAGATTTCCCAAGGCATTTTTTTTTCTGCCTGGTGCAATTAAAAAAAAATTTGGTTGGGGGGACTTCCCTGGTGGTCCAGTGGTTAAGAATCCGCCTTCCAATGCAGGGGATGCGGGTTTGATCCCTGGTCGGGGAACTAAGATCCCACATACCTTGGGGCAACTAAGCCTGCGCGCTCTAAAGCCCTCAAGCCACAACTAGAGAGAAGCTGGCGCTGCAACGAAAGGTCCCGCATGCCGCAACTAAGACCCAACACAGCCAAATAAATAAACATTAAAAAAAAAAAAATTTTCCCCATGGTAAAATACACATAACATAAAATTTACCATCTTAAGCATTTTAAGTGTATAGTTCAGTGGTATTAAATACATTCATAATGTTGTGCAATCAGTCATCACCACCATCCATCTCCATAACTCTTTTTAGCCTGCAAAACTGAAACTCTATATTCATTCAACAATAACCCCCAATCCTTGCCATCCAGCTCCCGGCAACCACCCTTCTACTTTCTGTCTCTAGGGTTTTGACTACTATAAGCACCTCGTATAAGTAGGATTCTATCATATTTGTCCTTTTGTGACTGGCTTATTTCACTTGGCATAATGTCCTCAAGGATCATCCATAAGGTAGCAGGTGTCAGCACTTCCTTCCTTTTTAAGGTTGAAAAATATTCCACTGTATGGCTACACTACATTCTGTTATCCATTCATCTGTCGTTGCTTCCATGTTTTAGTTATTGTGAACAATGCTGCTGTGAATAAAGGTGTACAAATATCTCTTTGAATTCTGCTTTCAATTCTTTTGGGTCTCTACCGAGAAGTGAAATTGCTGGGTTGTATGGTAATTCTAATTTCAATTTTTTGAGAAACCACAATACTGTTTTCCACAGCAGCTGTACCATTTTACGTTTCCCATCAACAGTGCACAACAGTTCCAGTTTCTCCACATCCTCATCAACTTTTGTTCTTTTCTGTTTTTTGAATAGTAGTTATCCTAATGGGTGTGAAGTGGTATCTCATTGTGACTTTTTTTTTTTTTTTGCGGTACGCGGGCCTCTCACCGTTGTGGCCTCTCCCGTTGCGGAGCACAGGCTCCGGACGCGCAGGCTCAGCGGCCATGGCTCACGGGCCCAGCCGCTCCGCGGCATGAGGGATCTTCCCGGACCGGGGCACGAACCCGCGTCCCCTGCATCGGCAGGCGGACTCTCAACCACTGCGCCACCAGGGAAGCCCTCTCATTGTGATTTTGATTCAAGTTTCTCCAATGATTAGTGATGTTGAGTATCATTTCATGTGCTTCTCAGTCATTTGTATATCCTTTTCGGAAATATCTATTCACATCCTTTGCCCATTTTAGTACTGGGTTGTCTTGCTTTTTGTTGTTGAGTTTTGGAGTTCTCTATATATTCTGGATATTAATCTCTTATCAAATACTTTAAGATATTTCTCAAGGCATTTTTTTCTGTCTGGAAAACTTTTAAATTGAAATCATATTGTGACCGTGTCTTCAACTGAATCCCACCATCTCTGCCTCTGCCCATCACAGATGTGTCACACGCATGGAATATTCTTTCTCCACCTGGCATTTGTTCTGCCACACTGACAACCCTGGGCCATAAGAGGGCCCAGGGCTTGAACCTGAAATGTGTCAAGTGGTGTTAGCCTCTGGGGGCTGGATTTTACTCTAATCACACCCTGGACTTTTGCCTGAATGGCCTGGATTCCTCTGTTGCAACTACATGGATGAGTTGCTTCCATCTTGAAAGAAGAGATCGGATTGGGTTTGCCAACGAGCCAGCTGTGTGCAGACCCTTGTGGGGAGGGCCACCATCTCTGAGGGCTGGGTCGGCTTATAACTGGCTTGTAGTCTCTGTTGGTTATTTGTGGGGTCCTGCTTCTTTGAGGTATCTGCTTATCTTGGCTTCTTCCACGCAGCCATGGAACGTGCAGAGCCTCGCACAAACCAGGCACTCGTTTGTTGAATAAACTCTGATAAGCAAAGGTGATGCGTTTGGAGCCACGCTGCCTCGATTTTCACTTTTTTGGTTTAAATATCACATCCCCATATGCCAACACCTCCCATGAAACAAAGAGAAGCACCTGTGTTGGTTTTGGCACAGGATCTGTTCAAGGGCAGGGCTGGGCCATCCTTGTTCTCTGTGCACTGTGCACGTGTATGTGTGCGTATGGGTGATCACAGGCACGCGTGTGTGTTCATGCACTTGTCTACTTACGTTTGCTCGTTGGACCAAGGGCTGGACAGTCACATAACCTCAAGACACCAACTGGAACTCTGACAAATGCAGAGATGAATTTGTCAGTAAACCAATGGGTCTCAACCTGTTCAAGTATAAAGACTCTTCTTTAACATAAAAAAATGGCAAAGACTCCCACACGAATAAGAAAGACATTATTTGTCTTTTCTGCATTTTCAGGTTGATAAAAATATGTCCCCATGCATTTGAAGACCTTTTGCAACGATTCCCAAGCTCTCCAGATCTGGGGATCCACTTCCTGAATAGACCTTTAACACTGGAAAGAGTGTCAGATGCTCACTCCTGTGAACATCTGACACTCTAGCAACTTTCCCTCTAAACAAGCAGGACCAAAAACATGAGCAAAGTATCACAAGCCCCAGAGACCACGTTTGTCTGCATCTCTGATGCATCCTCTGAACCTAGCACAGGATCTGCACCTTAGGTACTGAAAAAGTACTTCTTGCAAAAATATCCAGTAAGATGAGGCCACAGAGTGGCTGGCTAGGCTCACTCACCAGCTATGCTCTCAAGTCCTGCACACCAGCCTCAAAGAGCACAACGCAAAGCACTGCGCAGAAGGCCTGACTGATCAACGTCAAACTTGGCTGTGAAGCAAACATCACATTACTTTATTATCATTAAATGAAATAGAATCTGTTCCTGGGCCGCCATTCTGCCAGCCTGTTGGGAAATTTAATGTTGGCCTCAATTGGCAAATCCCTTCTCTCCCTAGGGTTGCATAAGAATCTGGAAGGATCATGTGGCTCCTTGAAAACGGGGGAAGGGAAGAGAGTCTGGTTGTGGTCACTGCTCAAGCTCCTTGTGATTCAGGCTCCCAGGGTCCCTAGAGGACAGGTGGCTTCCCAGGCTCTGTGTCACATGAGGTGTAAGGTGATCTCGGCAGAGGCTGCACGTCCCAAGCCTAGTGTCTGGCATCCCTGGATGCCCAGGAGACATTTCCCTGAGGGAGCTGCCTCTATCATAGGGGCAGCTCACTCTCCCCAGTTTGGGGGACTCTCCTTTGCCTGCTGCTCCACCTCTGCTCCTTCCAAGTACAACTTTCCTTGGGGTTGGGGTCACAGGGGGCCTCAGCTGGACCTCCTAGAGTTGTGCCTGGGTGGCAGGGGCTGAAGGACCCCGGAGGAAACTAATAACAAACTGCACCTCAGTGACTGGCCCCGCCACAGGAACCCAGTGGAATAACCACCTGCCTGCCGTGTGTCTGACTCTTCCATGTTGTTTCTAAATAATCAGGACCTCAAAGAGCTTCTTCTGCCACCTTGTTCTTCTGAAACTGACCTGCCGGAGAAGCAACCTGGAATCCAAACTCACCTTGGCTCAGAGATACGTACTTCTATTGAATGGCTGGTGGTGTGACAGAGCTTCTCGAGACGGTGTCAGATCCCGGCTTGAGGTTTGCCTTCGCTTTGGAAGGCACCAAAATCCACTCTTTTTCCTTTTTCTAGGACCCAGTCCTGGGCTCCTTCAAAGTCCCAACAGCAGGAGGTTTCCTTGCTTGGCAAATTCTGGCCCAAACAACCCAAGCCCTGAGGAGGAGAGCATTGGTTGTACAAGAAACTAATGGAATAATTTCTGGCACAAAACCAGACCCTCCTGTGCCAAGAGGTTCCAGGAAAACCAGCACATCCCAGGACTGGGAGGAAGTAAGGCAGCGACTGGGGACTTTTCCTAGTGAATCCAATAAATCCTTGGAAAAATAATCCACCAAAGGTCAGATATAGACAGCAAACAACTTTGCAGGCTTTTGGAGGTGTTTTGTTTTTTTCCTAAAGAGAGAGAAAAGATTCCATGCATTGGCTCTCAAAATAAATAACTGGGAATAGAAAACTCATCTATCCATATAAGAGAAATATGAACTTCAGTTCTGTATTATGGCCAGTTGATTGGGGATGGGGGAGAAAAGGAAAAGATGAATTGGAGGAGAAAAAGAAGTAGAGAGAGGAAGCAGAGAAAGGATGAGAGATGAGAGAGGCACAGAGAACTTGAAAGAAGGTTAGAGAAAGAAACTAAATATTTTCAGAGGCAGAGACACAAAATACACGAGAACAGAGCATAGTGAAAGAACACCAGATTGAGAAAGCTCAAAAGATATGCTGTAGATACAAAGAACAGAGTAGTGGTTCCCAGAGGGGAAGGGGTGTGGGGGGAGGGTGAAATGGTTAAAAGGGGTCAACTATATGGTGATGGCTGGAAACTAAATTTTTGGTTGTGGGGACTTCCCTGGTGCTGCAGTGGTTAAGAATCCGCCTGCTAATGCAGGGGACATGGGTATGAGCCCTGGTCCAGGAGGATCCCACACGCCGTGGAGCAACTAAGCCCGTGTGCCACAACTACTGAGCCCGCATGCCTAGAGCCCATGCTCCGCCACACGAGAAGCCGCTGCAATGAGAAGCCTGTGCACCTCAAGGAAGAGTAGCCCCCATTCGCTGCAACTAGAGAAAGCCCATGTGCAGCAATGAAGACCCAACGCAGCCAAAAATAAATAATAAATAAATAATTTATAATAAATAAATAAATAAATAAATTTTTGGTAGTGAGCGCGTTGTAGTATATACAGAAGTTGAAATAAAATGTATGTGCATGAAACATATAATACTATAAAACAATGTTACCTTAATTTTTTAAATGGTTATTTAATGGTAAATCATTGTTGTTATACTTTTAAAAAATATATATTTATTTATTTATTTTTGGTTCGTTGGGCCTTTGTCGCTGCACGTGGGCTTTTGCTAGCCGCGGCGAGCAGGGGCTACTCTTGGTTGTGGTGCGAGGGCATTTCATTACGGTGGCTTCTCTTGTTGCAGAGCACGGGCTCTAGGCACACGGGCTTCAGTAGCTGTGGCACACAGGCTTAGTTGCTCCGCAGCATGTGGGATCTTCCCAGACCAGGGCTCGTTCCCCGTGTCCCCTGAATGGGCAGGCGGATTCTTAACCACTGCGCCACCGGGGAAGTCCTGTCATACTTTATTTACAGGAACATCTTATACACATGGCAAGTAGAGCTGCGAGAACATGAGGTCATCTTGTCCAGTTCCTTCTGGAGTGCACTGGTGTCCCCTCACCCCCACCAAAATTCATGTCTACCTGGAACATCAGAGCATGAGCTTCTTTGGAAACAGGGTCTTTGCAGATGTAATTAGTTAAGATGAGGCTATACTGGATTAGGGTGGGCCCTAAATCCAATGACTGGTCTCTTTATGAGAAGGCCACGGGAAGACACAGATACACACGCATCTGGAAGAAGCCCACGTGACGACAGAGGCAGGGATGAGAGTGGTGCAGCGCAAGCCACGAGACACCAAGGATCGCCAGCGACCACCAGAAGCTAGAAGAAGCAAGGAAGGAACCTTCCCTTGAGACTCTGGAGGGATCCTGGCATGGCTGACACTTTGATTTCAGACTTCTGGCCTCCAGAACTGTGGGAGAATAAATTTCTGTTGCTTTGAGTCACAGTTTGTGGTGCTCTGCTATGGCAACCCTAGGACACTAATACGCTTCCTTTTGCAGGAGAAGAGCTCCAGGATGTGTGACATCTCCAAGATCACGGAGTCAACTGGTAGCCAGTCACCCACTCCAACCTGCCTTTTACTTTTCCTTAAGAATTTATTTATTTCCAGCATCTTTCATCCTCTCTGAACATGGAAATAGTTTGTCTATTGTCAAAGTTTATGTTGAAATAAAGATTCATTTCCCATTGAATTAGGAAATGCGTATGAAGGGACACTTCAGGCTTTAGAAATACTTTGGACTCTGAAGCTTTTCAAAATATTTACTGCCCATTCCTTTGGCATTCCAAAACAGTCTAATAGTTTATTACTTTTGAGAGATGACGGCTGTCTCTTTTGAACACTGAAATCACCATTTATTTCTTTATTCTGAGCAATTTTTTTCAAGGCAAGCCAAGTCCCTCTTGGGACATTGGACTTAAAACTGTCCATGAAGTAGACCCTTTGATTAGAAATGGGTTGAGCTCTATCTGGGTTTTCAACTGACATCAAATCATATGGAGAACACATGAGTTTTTAATTATTTCATAGTTCTTAACCCTCTTTTGGATTATGTCTCTGAGGAATCGATAAAAGCTATGGACTCTCTCCTAGAATATCATGTACTCTCACAACTTTTTGCACCCACTCTCAGGGTGTTCACAGACACCATGCCCTACCCGCACCCTCCCGTGGACCCCAGTTGTGGAGACTGTCCTGCTGGGCATCCACCTCCCTCCAGTTCGCCTTCTTACTTGAGCCTCAGAGTGGTGAGTGAGCAAGGGCAGAATCTGACCTATGGCAGAGGTTTTCTCTCCAACATGCTAATGACACTGGTGCAGAGTCTCAAAAACAGCTGTGCTCAGGAGTTGAGTTCTGGCCGAGCAACTTTTGGGAAACTTCTTCTTAAGACTCTCAAAGATTGGGTCGGGCCAATGGGATTCCCGGCAGAAATTCCCAGGGGACAGTGCTGGCTTTTTGAAGAGGACTGATTGGGTCATAGGGCTGACAGGCAGTCTTCCTTATATTCATTGGGGACACCATCCTCTCCCTTGCCTCGGGGTTTTAGCACACGTCCCCCCACTGTTGGTCACGCTCCTTGCTCCTCACCCCACCTTTTTGACCTGCTACCCTCTACCTGCCCTCAGATCTTTGGTTAGACCCACCTTCCTCTTGGACACTCTCTCTGATCCCCCAAAGTCTGTGTTAGGAGCCCTTTCCCTATGCCCCCACTGGCTTTGAATTTTTCCATCACCACCTTTGTCCCACTGTTGTAACTGGCTCTCTACTCACCTGTATCGCTACTGGATTGTACAGGAAATCAGGGGCCGTGTGATTCTTATAATCTTCCTACTCCCAAGTGTCGGGAAAACAGAGCATGGTGGATGGATGCAAGCTTGCTGAGTAAATACATGAATAAACTGGCTGGGTCAATGCAGGGCTTCTCAACCTTGGCACTGTTGGCATTTTGGACTTGATACTTCTTTGCCATAGGGGTTTGTCCTGTGCATTGTAGGATATTTCATGGCCTCCCTGGCTTCTACCCACCACATGCCCCACCCAACTGTGACAAATAAAAATGTCTCCAGACGCTGTCCAGTGACCCCTGGGAGTTAAAATCGCCCTGGTAGAAAACCACTGCATAAATGAATTAATGTTGACCTTGGGATCACTTTGCCCATCTTGAGTCTATGTCACGGAGTGAGAGTTCAGTCAGTCAGTTTCTGCTGGTGGAGCGCTCGGTACGTGCTCATGAAATGGGTGGCTGGCCTCGTGGGGCTCCTCAGAAGAGGGAAAAACTTCCACTCTGCCTTTTCTAAGTGGTCTCTTCTCTAATAAGCTATTACAACATGAAGACACAAGAGGGAGCTCTAACTAACAAGTTCCACAGCTAAGAAAACGTCCTTCCTCTCCTGGAAATGGTGACTGGACCCTCCTTGTTACGTGATGAGCTCAGGCTTAGACGTTTGGTTATGGCTTCAGGTTAGGACAGCGGAACCAGGATCCTGAGTTGGGAGGTTTCAGCCATTAAATATAGTGAAAGAGGGACTTCCCTGGTGGAACAGTGGTTAAGAATCCACCTGCCAATGCAGGGGACACGGGTTCAAGCCCTGGTCCGGGAAGATCCCACATGCTGCGGACCAACTAAGCCCATGCGCCACAACTACTGAGCCTGTGCTTAGAGCCCGTGTGCCACAACTACTGAGCCCATGTGCCACAACTACTGAAGCCCATGTGCCTAGAGCCCGTGCTCCCCAACAAGAGAAGCCACCGCAATGAGAAGCCTGCGCACCGCAACGAAGAGTAGGCCCCGCTCACCGCAACTAGAGGAAGCCCGCGCGCAGCAACGAAGACCCAACGCAGCCAAAAATAAATAAATAAATAAATTAAAAACATTTTTTTAATTAAAAAATATATATACTGAAAAAAAGACCCCTGCATGTGTGGCCTGCTCCTCAGACATACAGACTGAGGGGAAAAATAAAGACCCAATTATGCTCCATTTATAAGTGATAAGCAGTATGAACAGGGTCTTCCCAGCTTCCCCAGAAATGCTCTGCTCTGGTGGCAGCAAGGGACTGAGGAGTTGACACAGGGGCTCGGGGTGCACCCAAATCACCGACACAACAACTATCAGGCTTGAAGGCTGTTAGCGATCATCCAATCCTTTGTCTCTGCACTGAGTCAATGGCCCTGAAAACCGGGAAATTGTATAGCATCTTTGTGATACAACATTGTGTGTGTGTGTGTGTGTGTGTGTGTGTGTGTGTCTACAGCTGCCATCATATTTTGAAAGGAATCTAAACCCTCCAAATGTTAAGAACCGTTAGTCTAACTCATCTTAGAGATGAAGAGACAAAGAGGCTCCTTCAAGTTTCTGCCGCCGCAGACCCAGGACACACACAGCTCTCCTCTGCCTTCAGGTCCAGTGGGTGGTGCTGGCCTGTGGGGCAGGGAGGTCTGGTCTGAGGCCACGGGGGAGGGTGGATCCTGAGGCCTAGAGGGGTGGGAGGAGGCTTTGCCAGTAGGGT